CATAGCAAATTGCCCTGCATGTGGGATTTCCGATCGTCTGCGGTCGGAGCGCCAATTCTAGCTCCTCTTCCGCGGCCGGCATCGCGTCGTCATCAGAGCTATCCGGCCTATATCCGTCGGAGTGCGCAGGTGCCCCCGCCACCTCGAAGTCCGAGTCGGCGGATGACTGGCACTCCTCGATGATCTTCACATGTGCAAGTTGCCCCGCGATCGGGATGCCCGGCCAATCTGCGGGATCGATCTCGTCGCGACCAACGCGCGCCTCCTCGCGGAGCTCCTCGGCGCACCTCTCGAAGGGCAAGCCGGCGCTCATGCATCTCGCAGACGTTAAATGGGCAGCGGCAGTGGGGTCACCTTCTGATTCGGCAGAAAATGTTTCGACATCGACATGCTGAATCTCGGAGTCGGTTCGCGCCAAATGCATCGACGGGCCCATGCCTCTCCTGTCGCCTCGGGGGCGCTCGCGACAGAAAAGCTGGGCGCTGTGGCAGATGCCGCGCGCCATGGATTCCCCGTTGGCGTCCTTCGGGTTGCCCCGTCGCCCCGCGCTCTCTCTCTCTCTCTCTCTCTCTCTCTCTCTCTCTCTCTCTCTCTCTCTCTCTCTCTCTCTCTCTCTCTCTCTCTCTCTCTCTCTCTCTCTCTCTCTCTCTCTCTCTCTCTCTCTCTCTCTCTCTCTCTCTCTCTCTCTCTCTTCTCTCTCTCTCTCTCTCTCTCTCTCTCTCTCTCTCTCTCTCTCTCTCTCTCTCTCTCTCTCTCTCTCTCTCTCTCTCTCTCTCTCTCTCTCTCTCTCTCTCTCTCTCTCTCTCTCTCTCTCTCTCTCTCTCTCTCTCTCTCTCTCTCTCTCTCTCTCTCTCTCTCTCTCTCTCTTTTTTAAAAAATTGTTTTTTCCTGCGGCGCGCTTGCGGCCCCCACCCTTCCCCAGGAAGATCCCCTCATGCTGTGGTCCCGCAAGGGGGGCCAATAATGATGGCTGGCATGCCTCAACCGTGCAGCCGTCGTCGTCTACCTCTGCCTCTACCTTTACCCTTTGACCTAAATGCGCGCGTCAGGCCGCAAGTCGCGCCTTTCGAACTGGCACTTTCATAAAGCGCCCCCGTCGACGCTTGCGTTTCTGGTGGTCCAGGAATATCCATTTTGCTTTTTGTTCCTCGGCGAGGTGCGCAGGCATATGCGAAAAGTATAGGTTGCCAAGTCCTTCATCAGACGGAGCGTCGGCATCGGTGCCTGAGTCAAAGTTGGACTCTGCGGGTTGCCCCGCCGAGCCCACTACTGGCCTGGGTAGGGGCCACCGTTGCAGACGGTCTCTGATTTTGAGCCTGGGAGTCTTGCGGCCCCAAGGGCTGGCCACCTTGTTGGCTTAACGAAGTGGTGGCCTCGTTTGGTTGTGAATCGTCCTCCCAGATGGTGCTGGCAGGGCGCCCCGCGTAAGTGTCACTATGAAACACATCAGTGCGGTTGCCGCGGTTAAACGCACCACCAATGATACCGAGGGTTCTTTCGGCGATGTGGGCGTGAGCCCTCGTGCGCTCCAGTAAGGAGTCGACTTGTTGCTGAGTCCTTGGCATTTAGTGTTTCAGTGGTTGTAACAGTTGTGGCGCACGCGAAGCGCCGACACCTAGGGCCCTGAACAATATGACTGCCAGGATTTGGAAATTTGTGATGTTGAACCCCGCGCGGTCGGCTTCAAAACGTGCAATCTCGAAACGCGCCAACGCCTGATCGATCCATTTTCCCGCATGGAGCCGTCACCGAATTCAACTATCGCTCATCTTCAAGATTTTCGAATTTAGTGCGGAGGAGGAACATTCTAGAGCTGGCCCCGTCGGTGTGATGTCCACCAATGCTCGCTCCAAAGTTGATTACTCCTGGGGGGGCTCTAATCTACTGGCAATGGTCCTTGCCAGACCTCCAAGGCCACGCTGCAGAGCAGCGGCCTGTTGGGAGGGAGTCATACTGCCTGTGGCCACTGTGATCCAGGCATGTATCTCGCGAGCGAATTCGCGGAAAAAGGGCAATTACCGGCAGGGTCCCAATGGGGGCTGGTAGTGCGCGTGTCGTCTGCACCGCGATGCATATGTCCAACACCACATCCGATGGCGACTCAGAGGAAGCCAAACACAGCGATGCCAATCCAGTGGCCTCGTAGGTCGGTGTCGGTTGTAGGTGGCATGCGTTTGTGGGGTGACGTTGCCATCAGTTCGCGAGGAGGTGCAGGCGTCGCAATATCATAAAGCATGCTACCACGCATGGCATCTTCGAAATAATTGCACATTGGCGTTGGCGGGTGGACTTCCGGAGTGTAGTCGCGCAGAAATGCAGGGTTTGGTTAGGAGACCTTTGCGCGAGCAGAAGCTTGAATGCAAATGTCCTTGCGATGGCCATGGTCTCCTCCGCGTAGACCACTGCGCCGTGATGGTCCACCGTATCAGTAGTCCACCAGCTACTGCCGTGAATAGCAAGGAGTAGAACTAGACCTGACCACCAACGGCCAGCTCCGCTACCAAGTTTAAAGCCAACTCGGAAACCCAACTAGATACTACGCCTTAGGCGTAGTATGCGTCCAATCGTGTTGTATCGTATTCAGCGATGGTGCCAAAGGTAGGAGATGGCCGCGTGAGCGGCGAAGGAACATCTCAAGAATAAAGGGTGGGACCTTTTCTGTCTCGATGTTAGATAGCGGGAAGCGATGCGACCCGGTCAAATTGGCGGACGGTCGCTTGAACCCAAGCGGCCGCGGACAAGCGCTCGATACCTCTCGCCTTTGCCCTTCCCACGCGCCTCCAGGGCCCTCGGCGCCTCAAAATCAGCCCTCCGTGGCCGCTGAGATGCCCAAGATGCTTTCTTGGATGGCTCCAGAAGGCCTCTACACACGCCAGAGAGGCCTCAGAACGCCAAGGATAATCTCCAGGCGGCCCAGGATGCAGAACAGGCCCCAAGAGGACACCCAGGAGGCCTCAAGTGGCAAATCTCGTTTTGCAGTGGTTCTTCAATGACTTTCGCGTTCTCGCCTCGGTGAGTGTCTGCAAGCCAAAACAGCGCAAGAGGCCTAAGACGAACCAAGAAACCCCCAACAAGGCCAGGCGACGGCCCAACTAGGCCCCAAGATGGGATGCCGCACACACCCCACACCCTCTTCTGAGGGTCGGCGGAATGGGGCAAGTCTCTTGGACCAATCCCGCTAGATAACGACGGACAACAAAACGTTGTACTTTTTGGTCCGCGCGCCGAGACGAGCGGGCAACGGCCCTTCGGCCGTCCGTTGCGTACCTGCTTTGAGGAGCATGCCTGTCTTCACTGTCAAGGCTGGGTGCTGGAACAAAAAACTAACAGACACCCATAGCAGATGTTTGGACGGGCTCCTCAGGAGGACGCCAAGCGACACACCCGCGGTCGGACCTAGGCCAAAAGAACCTCCCTCAAGAACATGAGAACCTCCGCCAGCCAACATGAAGAGCAGTCGAGGGTACCCTCCCCCACGATGCACAATAACACCCAACAAACACGAGAACGTGAGGGTACCCTCCCCGAACCGACCTTGATCTTATGCCTCGGTCCGACTGTACGCCGATCCAGGCTCATCCTGAGCACAGGATTGGTGTCTAGGACCTCCCTGCTTGGCCAGGAAAGCCCACACACACCGACCTGGGGCCAACGATCAAGCCAGCAAGGATCGATGAATGTGTATATGGTAGGTTTGTGTTGTGCCGACCCTGGCGTTGGTTTCTGACACCGCGCTGGCTCGTTCAAATTTGAATGATAGGCCGTTTCCCAAACGTTAGATCGCTCAACATCGACCGATTCTGGGTCGCCGGCGGCGTTCAACGTTGAACGCCGGCGGCAAGGTCGCCGCCGGTCGACACGACGCGGACCTACCATGTTTAGCGTCCTACGACTTTTGTACGCGAATGAAAATCGAAAGAAGAAAATTCAGCACCTACGGAACACTGGACAGGGCAGAACAGTGGTAGGCATGAAGGAACACGTGTGATTGCAAATCCGCCGACCCTGTCGGCGTGTGCGAGGGGCTTGGCTGTTCGAGTCGTCGTCTCCGTCGGTCGTCGCCTCCGTCGTCCCCTTTCCCTGCAGCTTCCTTCTCAAGCTCGTGAGCGAGAGAAAAATCGAGCAGTGTCGTAATCGAGTCGAAGGGAAGCCCCTTCCCCAGGGGGGGGGGGTCCTGGGTGGGGTCCGGGGGGGTCCCGGGGGAGGTCCCGGGGGGGGTCCCGGGGGGGGTCCCGGGGGGGGTGGGGGGGCAGATTCGTTTTCCTCGGGCGGCCTAGAAACCTCGAAAACACTCCAAATGAGGTCCGAATGCCCAAGATGGCCCCCGAGACGGCCCAAGAGGGCCCCGAGTCGCCCAAAGATCTGCCGCAAACGCCCAAGACAGCCCCAAGACCGTCCAAGAAGCCTCCAAGACGTCCCAGGCCCCCTCCAACAGACCCCCAGGAAGCCCCAAGAGGCCCCCACGAGGCTTCCAGGCGGCCCCTAAGACCTTCCCAAGAGGCCCACAAACTACCCCCGAGAGGCCCCCAAGAGCGCTCGTCGTCGTCGTCGTCGTCGTCGTCGTCGCCATTCAGGGTCGGCGGCACCGGCCGTAAGGCCTTCGCAATATCCAAACACGAACAAAATCGAGCTGCTTGGGTGCACGCTATGCTCGGGGTGACCTGCCCACCTCCGCGCCTATCCCTGACAATATGGTACACTATGTGCTGCCAGAGCAAAACGTATCGCACGCGCAATGCCTCATACGCGCAACGTCGACACTGTGAGCCAGACGCGTGAACGCGAAACCCGTGATCAGATGTTCGCTGTGCCCGTCTTGCATCCAGGGCCGCGTAGCACGAATCCTCCGCACCAGAAGTCTCAAACCGCAGCTACTATACCGAAGCAGGTTGTGAGCAGGCTCGATCGTGTAGCCAATCACGCCTCGGCTTGCGTACCACAACTGCCCCAACACGAAATACAATGCAACTGTCCCAGCACTGTCTACTTGCTGAGGTTACCTGGCTTCCACATCATCCCCTCCAGCGTGGCCCTCACCGAATCCGCATCTGCGCCAAGCGCCCGTCGCGCCAGGGACATCTTTTGCGCCTCCAGTACCACGGCGGTGGCGACATTGAGGTTCACAAGCTGCACTTGGTCCCGATGAGGGATTACTCGGCCCTCGTCGAAGTCCTGCTGACTCAGGCTGTTCGCCACTGCCTCTGCGGCCACTAAAAAGAACCTTTCTGGGATGGTCCTCGCTTGGCAGCAAATGGCGCCGAAGGACATACCAGGGAAAATATACACGTTATTTACCTGCCCAGGCGATTGCCTCTTCCCCCCGACCTCGACAGCATCGAAGTGGGTCCCAGATCCGAAGATGGCAGCCCCGCTCGACCATCGATAGCAATCCACTGCCGTGATCTCTGATTGGGACTTCGGGTTCGAGAGAGCAAAAATGATGGGCCGCCCCCCGCTCCCGACACTCTTCATCATCCCGTCGACGACCTCCTTGGTGAAACAGTTCGGGGAGACACCCACGGCACCGACCAAGACTGTAGGCTTCACTGCGCGGATCACGTCGACGAGGCTCCCGCACGCGAACTTGGGTTTGCCCTTGTACGCAAGGGCCTTCTGCTCCTCGTTCTTGAACACGCCCTGAGACCCATCCTGGGACACCCAAATGAGGCCCTTGGAACCGCAGATCAGCACACGGTGTTTCTCAACTCCGCCCTCGTTAAGGAGCAGATTTGCGGCGCCAATGTTGGCGGATCCCGCGCCGAAGAAGAGGAACGTCTCCTTCCTCAGCGCGCCGATTAGGTCAGCGCAATCGGGATGTTTGATCTTAATAGCTCCCATGATACCAGCAACGGCTACTGCCGCGGTGCCCTGGATGTCGTCGTTGTAAGTCAAATACTTCTCCCGATACTCGGCGAGGAGCGGGAATGCGTCGTTGGAGTTGAAGTCCTCGAACTGCAAAAGGCAAGTGTCTCCGAACAGGTCGGTGGCCGCCACGAAGAGTTCCTGGATAATGTTTCCCTGTCCGTAGTAGCAAGAATTGACCATCGTGCCGGCAGCGGACTTCTCCAGGTTGCGGTCCTGTTTCAGCCCCGTGTACAGGGGGTGCTCGCGGATCTCCAGCTTGTCCGTGTTCTTGGAAGAATCACCGCAGCCCGCGTCGATGATGAGCGGAATGACGCGGTGCGGGCTGACCCCACCGCAGACCGTGTAGAGGTCGAGCTTGCCCACGGGAATGCCCATGCCCCAGGCGCCGAGGTCGCCCAAGCCGAGGATCCGGCCCCCATCGGAGAAGACGATGCAATCGCAGACCGGCCGCCCCTCGACATGCTCCAACTCCGCCCGCGCGTATTCGTCCAGGACCTCCCGGGCACGCCCGCGGTCGGCCACAGAGAGATAGCAACCGCGCCTGCTGAAGGGCAGCATCCCGTACTTCTGGCACACCTCCCCCACCGTTGGCGTGTACATGACCGGCAGCATCAGGGACGGCTGCCTCAGGATCGTCTCGTAATAGATGTCCAGGCTCTTGGCGTGCAGCGCCTTCATCCACAAGTGCGCCCAGAGGTGGTGGTCCAACTGGATCATCGATCTCACCCTCGCGAGCGCGTCGTCCGCGCTCTTGACATCCGCCATGCCGCCGAGCATCTCCACCAGTGGAGCCAGCTCGGGCCGCCGGTTCCAGGCGGCGGGGCCACCAGCTTTCGCCACCTCCCTGGGCCATGAGAGGCGGCGGTCGGCGCCGCCGCCGGGAGCCTCCCTCCCGAGCTTCGGGTAGCAGATCATGCCGATGGGCATGCAGGCCACCTCGTCGTCGCACGGGGTCGTGGCAGCGGGCGTCTGGCACCACATCTGGCCGACACTGTTTTCGGGCACCGAGGTCAGCCGGCGGTGGGCTGGCAGATGCAGAGTACCGAACGCCAAGGGGCAGCTGCAAATCCTCCTCGGGCCCAACGCCTTGAACTGCACGGTGCCTACCAAAGTCAGAATCTGTTCGCAAATGTCACCAGGAGGAGTGCGTCCGCTTTCAGCATGGGGGAGACGAGTTCTGAGGCAAACGGGTCCTGGACCCCAGGGCCTTCCCCCAAGACGAGATCTTCATCCTGACTCGTTTTCTGACAGTTCCGGGGCCCGTGGAGGGCCAAGAGAGCCCGACAACGGCGAAACACCTCAGGACCTGTTTCTCTCGGGACGCGTTGTCACCATGACGCGGCATGTGGTTTGGAAGCAACGCGTAAGTCACGCAGCCGACGGCAGAAGGGGACGGTCGTCATCCGACAAAGCCCGCCAGACACCAGCAGCAAAACGCAGCACGGTAACAGGTCAGACCGCCACTGGGGGTCGATCGACTGGTACTGTTTTGTCCAAGGCGCGAGCGAGGCCACGACGAGCACAACATCGGGTGAGGATCCCGCGGCTCTGGAGGATGGCTCGGGGCCGCGGCCTTCTCAGAGCGTTCTGGAACGCTCTGAGCTCGTCCAGGAACGCTCTGGAACGGACTTATCCTCGTCTTGGCCACGTCCGATGTTTCTCACACGCGCCTCAGCAAGCGAAGCTCCTAGATTGCCCTGGACTTGTCCTGGAAACCATTCTGACAACTTCTTCGACGCGTCCGGCCGTGGTGACGGCCGCCACCTCCCCCCCCCCCCGAAGGCTTCGGCCCTGAGGCAACAGAAACGATGCAAACAAGCACTAAATTCCCAGCGACACCAACCGCAGAGGCCTCAGCGTCAGCCTTCTCCGCCACCGTGCCTTGTGCACGTCGACGCGTGGAAGAGTGCGAAGGGCCGTCTGGTAAGGCTTCTGTGCTCTACTCAGGGACCCCCCCTTCTCGTGTCTACCCGCATGCATGCATCGCCCACCCTCTCGAGCCAACGATCCCTTGCAAAGAACAACGGGTCTGCGTTCCCGAAGCAACAATCCTTTGTTTAAAACGATGGATCCGCGTCCCGAACTTCAAAGAATGTCCATGCAGGCAGCCAAGGACAACAATGTGGTCCAAGATGCCTCATAAGGGCCCAAGGTGCCTCCAAGACTGCCCAGAAGGGCCGCAAGAGGACCTCCAACAGGGTCCGAAGAAGCCAACATCATTTCTTCCCCTCGGTTGTTTGACATTGTTTTCCCACGGTTGTTTGAATGATTTTCACAATCTCGCCTTTTTGGGTTTCCGTCAGCTCAAGACGGCGCAAGATGGCTCCACGATGGCCCCAAGACGGGCCAAGATACCCTCAAGAGTGTGCTAAGATGGTACAGCGTCCCTCCCAAGATGGCCAGGCATCTAAGACGGCCTCCCGCGGGACCCAATACTGCGTAAGAAGGCCTTTTGATTGCCCAAGCGGCCCACGACGGCCTCCTGACTCCCACCATACGGACAAGACCGCGCCAAGACGGCCCAAGAGTCCCACATCGGCATAAGAGGGCCCCAAGAAAGATCAACAGGGCCCCAAGGGACCCCAAAATTGCATCACAAGAGGCCAAGGCAGGCTCAAGACGGCCCAGAAGAGTTTCATGAACAGCTCATCATATGGTGGAAACGAATGGCGTAACATGTGACGGCCTTCCTCTTCCACATCCTGCTCCTGCTGCTGCTGCTGCTGCTCCTCCTCCTCCTCATCATCATCAGCATCATCATCGTCATCATAATCCGCAGCACCAGCACCAGCATCATCAACAGCAGCATCATCATTAACATCATAATCAACATTATCATCACCAAATTTCATAATTCGCCAGCCCAACGGGCAACACGCGTGCTAACATCTCTGGTGCGAATTTGAAAATGTTTCTGATTCGCGCGCGCGTGGCGGCCCCTGGGGGTCCCCAGCCACAGCCAGGTCCGGGCAGGTCCGGGTCAGAGATGTAGGAACTCCTGGGCGCAGCCTCGGAGGCCAACGGAGTGCACAAGTCGAACCAAGTTGGTCTCAAGGCGGCCAAAGAAGTGCCCAAGACGCCCCACGAGGGCTCCAAGACGACCCCAAGGGGGCCCGAAAAGGCAAGACTCAATGATGTTGCTAAGGTTTCTGACCGATTTTGGTCTTACCGCCTTTTCGAGCTTCCGACCGCCCAAGACGGCCCAAAAGTGCCCCAAGACGGCCTCCCCAAGTTTGAAAATGGTTGGAAGGCCCAACCAGCAGTTTCGCCCCAGGCGAAACCCAGCTCCACCTCTGTTGTATCGTAGTAACGATAGTCCCAGTAGTAGGAGGTCGTCGCGGGAGCGACGGGCCATCTCAAGCGAAGGATGTTTTCGGTCTCGATGGCGAAATGGCACACCTCGCAGTGAGGTGTAATCAGATTTGGGCGGGCGGCCGCTGGAGCACAAACGGCCGCGGACACACGCTCGTGACCTCTCGCATGTCTCCCAGCTCACTTTAGAATCGGGGGGAAGGGGGCGAAGCGGGAGCCCGCCGCTTCTATGCAGCAGGCACAGCAGCTACTATGTACCAAAGGGCAGCAAAAGGGCGGGGCCATAAGGAAGGTGGACCCGCGCGCAAGTTGCCTTGCCTGCGCCTTACTGTGCATGCGAGTACTCCTCAGGCGGCTGCAGACCGAGATGTCTGGCCAGCCCGATAAGGAGCATGACGCTTTAAATCATGCGTGAAGGGTTGCGTACGTCTTATGACCTGTAGGAGCATTTCTCGGTCGATGCTCCCCTTGGTGTGACCGTGCGCGGTCATATCGCGGGTGTTACACTCTTGAACACTGTGCACGATTCCTCGCTCCATCATCTGTCGCATCCAGCTGATGTGTCCTAAAAGAGTACACTCAGTCGGCTTCTTCAAATCTTTGCTTGACAAGGACTTAAAACCAGGCTCAGCAAGTGAACGACAGGCTTGCCAGGTGGCGTGCTTCCATGCCGTAGCAGGTTTGCCCCGCGAATACCAATCCACTCAGGCGTCGATAACGTGAGTCGCCGTGCAGGTCAACTTCGCCCGTGGGAGTCATCGCTCGGTGACGGTCTTCTTAGGGCAGGCCTGCAGTTTCCTGGTGATCGCGTTCAGTCGTCGCACTTGCATGTTGGTCGTTTCTTGGGCACGTTGTAGAGAGACAACATATACCATCAACCACGCCTGGGTGATTGATGCATGCGCCACTGCGCCTCTGAGGCTGACGAACATGTCTGCAACCATCTTGGGTGCTTGGGCGTCAGCGCCGGCGCCTGTAAGGTCAAGGTGTTGTATAGGACGGAGCTGCTTGGTGTATTTGTCTCGGTCCAACGTAACAATGCCGTCCTCATCGTTGGTATATATATATATATATATATATATATATATATATATATCACAGCCCAATTGTGCATGTGTGCTTGTGGAGTTTACACGTGCCAAAGGTGTCCTCCACGCGCTTGGCGCACTTGTCAATGGCGCCCTCTGCGTCTGTCATATTGATGTCATCAACATGTTTGGCCGAGAGCAGGTTGCTGCTCGCCTCGAACTCGTCGTCGCAGGACGTGGGTCTGAGGCCGAAGCCTCTTGTGATCCTTCTGAACTTTAGTGGGCGAGCTCGAGGTGCGTCCTTGGTGCCAGTACCTGGCTCGAGGCACTGCAGGCAGTGCTTCGACTCGTCGTCGCGCTCGAATCCTGGGTCAGTTCGAAGCGCCGTAGCCGATCCAGGCGGCAGAGTAAAGCACGCCACGCGTTCTCGCCAGTTGCCTCAGCAAGTTCCTGGTAGGTAAACCCTTTCAGGAAGGCCATTTTGATGTCGAGGGAAACAATGACCCATTGCTTCTTGCACGCTTCCGTGCTCGCGAGCAGTCTCTGGATTGGCCGCCGTGCTGTTCCCCAGAAGGTTTCCACGTCGAAGGCTTCGTGGTCCATGAAGCCTCGGAGCACTAGGCGTAACCTGATGGTGCGTTCCATCTCGCCCTTCTCGTTCTTCACGAACTTCCATTTGTGCGCGTGCCTCGAAGTCATGATGTTTGACGTTTTACATACATCTTGCATTGTAGAGCCCCTGTTGTCAAACCATGTCTTGAGTTCAGTGTCTAGTGCATGAGCTTTCGACACTCTTTCGGATTTCGCCTTGACGCCCGCCTTCGCGAGAAGGTCGTCTCCTTTTCACGACCGCAGCTCGCTTTGCAGCGGCGGCATCCTATATATATATATATATATATATATATATATTCGCATGGTGGTAACACGGCCGGCACCTAATATTCTGCCCTGTTGTTCGGATAGGACTACCTTTGGCATATCTGCCGTAGAGCAGAGTTCTACATACCGCCAGTGTTCGTCTGAGTCCAGTCCATAACTGCTATCTTCGATCGTGGAGCACAATGAGACATGCTATGTTTCCTCGATGTCGGAATCGCGTGGGCGCCCCCACTGAGGCAGGTGCCCCCGCTTTTCTTTAGCAATAGTGATCAGCGCACTGCTGTCTGGAATCATGTGTGGGTGCTGCGAAAATGTCCTCTAGTGGAGTTGCCTCCAGTAGTTCCCTTCCGCCTTGTAGTTCTGCATACCACACTTCCATAATATGTGCCTCGAGGTCGGCCTCCGATTCCTCATGTCGTGGGTAGCCGTCCATCCTCCTGTGGCGGTTCGGCTTCTGGGACTTCTCTTGCGGTTCCGTCCTGCGTCGGTAGATCCGCCAATTCCTCAAACTTTGTCATATCCTGGTCGAAGCCCGCTTGAGGTTTGGTGGGCTCCAGGCATTCGATGATTCTTGAATGTACTGATCCAATTGCATTGTGAATGTTAAAAGCGGTGCCCTGTGCTTCATAATAATGAAATCTGGGATTTACACCGTTCTCATAGTCGTCCACTGCGCAGCTGGCGGCGTAAGCCACCAGAGGTAGCTCGTGAAGACTTTTGGCTAACCTAACAGGAACTACATTCTCGATGCAGAAGATGTTTTTTGATAAGGTGTTGTAAAGCGAGATGCACCTGAGGAGATAGCCGGCCTGCACTAGTCATCTGAAACGCTCCCTTCTTGGTCGGGAAATAG